CGACAAGCTCTATTGTACGGTGCCAACTACACCTAGTTGTACGGCACGATTCTCGAGAGGGTGCAGAACGTTTCGTCTCACCTCATTCCGAACTCCGGACATGCGTCCGGATGTTCGGAAATGAATTTTTCCTTGACCGGAGTTCGTAAACATTCGTGGGCAGACGATCGTAATAGAAAAGCAGGGAAATTGGAATGGTTTGACTGGATGTTCGGAACACAATATTTCTTGATATATCTGATGCAGATCTGGAGATTGTAATGCATAAGGTCGGATGTTCGGAACCGGAAGATTGGAATGACATTGACAAGGAATTCGTAAAAATAATTGGTCGGAGATCGTAACGGATATAAAGATTTTTCTTCTGTTTTTATAGACAAGAACAGGGTTTATTTACTTAGTACAACTATACTTATATATATAGAGATAGATAATTTTCTTTCTGTATCATTGCTTTCTATACTTTAGTAACTATAGTTGTTTCTACCTTTCGTCTTTTAATCTATTCATAATAGTGGTACACATCATCTCGACCTATTATTACTGTTGCAAAGTCGAAGAAGGAACAAACAGTTAGTGCTAAAAAACGTAGATATTCATCAGAAAATGAAGAGAATAATGATGGTATATCTGTTTTACATGTGTAAGTATTTTGCTTTTGTGTTGAATAAAGAGAGTAGTAATGTGTTTTGTATTTTTCTTTTCAATTTTCAGTCCTACTACGCCAATTGATGCTAAACCAGTTAAAGGTACAAATGGTGGTGTAAGAAATAAACGTATCAAAAAATAACTACTGAAAATTTTGCTCTATACGTTTCATATTTTTTCTTATGATATTATGCTCTATATTTACTATGAATTAGATTTAAAAGTAAAATAAAATATTTGTTCTTCTTTTTTTCTTTAATTGGAATTAAAATAGTAAAAAGACGAGCAATCTTGCCTGTTTGCATTTATCAAGATATCTTTAATGCACCATCTTAAACTGTAAGACAAGTGTGTCCCTTCATATTCTCTCAAAGTTGAGTAAACTTAAATATAGTTACGAACATCCTACCATTTTCCTTCCGAACATCCTGTAGTTTTCATTGCGACCTTCATGCATTTGTCATTACGAACTTCCGGACTGTTTCATTTCGATCTCCAGTCAAATTTTCGCTGTTCAGCCACTAAGAAACAGTTGTCAGAGCTCGTTACGATCTTCCGACCACATGTCGTTACGAGCATCATGGTTTTTCCTCATATTTCATTGACTTTTGTCATTCCGAACATCCTGTCTTTTTTCTTAAGTCCGAAGACCGTAACGGACTACTTCAACCGGAGTTCATAATGAATAGGTGAGACGAAGTGTCACTTTCCCTCTCGAGAAGACTATCAAAAATCACTCAGACTCCGATTTCTCTGCATAATTTCGGACCCGATTCGCCAACATACAAGTTCGAAAGCAACCAACTGATACATCATATTTCACTATCAAAGCTCTACCCAATCGCGAAAATCGCAGCTTGATAGTATCTAGCATTCGTGGGATGATGACCCAAACCAGGGTCTAATGCCCCGTTCATCAATGTATTTCGCCACCCGATTCGCTCTGGAGCGAGTACTAACAAAAGTAACACTAATTTCAACCTGAATTCAATATGCTCTATGTACTATTGAAAACTGATAACCGACAGGACATATTTTTGTTCGGATAATGACCCAAACTGTGACCTAATTCGTTATCCGGCAACATATTTTCATAAGAAGCAAATTCTAGCGAAAATAGTAGTAGTGCGAACCTCAATTCAATATGCTGAATCACTAGTCAGTAAAGCACACTCATAGAATTCTGTGTTCATGAATTATTGACCGGTACGCATTCCAAATAGAACTCGTTCTAATATGTTTTATGAGCGCATTCACTAAAGAGAAAATCCACTCTAAGGAGTTTGCACTGTTGGATAGAACTCGTTAAGCTGCATGTGTAACCATTAAAGCTTTGTTGGAAGTCACTGGTTGGCAAATCGACTCCGAAATTATCGAGCAAGAACTGATATTTAGGCGGTTTTGGGAAGGGGAGTTTCTAGAGAACAATGGAATATAATGAGATACGGTTTGTACGATTGGAAAGAGCTCGTTGAGATGCATTTATAGGTATAAAGGTTTTGTTGGAACGCACTGCTGGACAAATCAGTCCAAAGATTACGTTTTTATCCAGTTTTTCCCCATAGGAGAAAAATTTATATTTTTAATTTCTCTCAGTAATGGTGACATTTATGGGAGAGAAGTTTTCACCGTTGTATATATGACATGTTGAATTCTACTTTGAATGCACGCTTTTCTGAACAAATCGGGACCGAAAATATCTTACATGAAAATCTGAGCAAAGTTTTCGAATAATATATTAATGAATCTTCTTTCTCTAAGAAACATACAGGTTGATTACGTTATTTTTGCTAGTTTTGTGTCGTTTGCTGTATTTATGCAATACATCGAATTTTTTTTATTTGAGCACAGTTGGATAGAGCATCAGCTCTTCTATCAAATCATATAATTTGTTTGTTAGTTTCTCTGGCTCTAGCCCAAAATTTTGATGAATCTCAAACAAGTATGAAAAACAATTTTTTAGGGTTGTTGTCATGATTATTAATAGTTTTATTTTTCATATACAGACTGCTTGTATCATGCTTAATAGTATTCGCGATAACACGTGCGCATCACATATTGAACGTTTTTTTCTTTCCTCTCGATGACAGTTATAGCCTTCCTCTTTAGTTCAATTCGTTTAAATTAATTTCAAGTAAATGCCACGTAAGAAAATTTCCGACATTGTCGAAGGACGTATTTTGCAACTATTACGTCAAGGATATTCTCAGCCTCGAATTGTGAACATTTTGAAACTTGATGGTATACATGTATCTCAACGTACTGTGTCAAATGTCAAACGAAAGATCGGCCATCAAAGAAATTCTGAATCTAAAATTAAAATTTTTCGAACAAAATCATCACAAACACCATATATTATTAAGAAGGTCATTAAGAAGATTGACGTCGAAGATCCACCAACTCAACGTGCTATTGCTAAAGATCTTCACATCAGCCAATCGACTGTCTCGAACATTATCAAAAATTCTGGATTTACTCTTCGAAAAAAACAGAAAGTTCAAAAGTTAACATCATCAAATATTATGAAACGTAGACAGCGATCATTTCAACTTTATCTTCGATTAGCACGTGGTCGATATAAGAAGTTCATTACAACAGATGAAGCTTGGTTTTATTTAGATGGAACTGGTGGAAGAAGAAAAGTATGTTATATAAAAAAAACTGATCCCGATTATGATCGCATGATTATTCAACAAAACACTTCACGACCAAAAGGTTTTATGGTATGGGGAGGTGTATCAAGTCAAGGAAAAACTGCACTTCGTTTTGTTGCACCTGGTACAAAAATTAATTCAAATTATTACGTTAACAAGGTTTTAAAGCCATTTTTAGCACAAGATGTTCCACGTTTATTTCCAAGAAGACGAAAAATGAAATGGGTTCTTCATCAAGATTCGGCACCAAGTCATACTGCCGAACAAACAATTAGATTTTTGGACCAAAACAAAATTCATTATATAACACCACAAGAATGGATGCCTGCTAGTCCTGATGCTGCACCAATGGATTATTCAATATGGGGGTATTTGAAACAACAACTGAATAAAATTCATATTGATTCTCTTGATGAACTTAAAAAAAAGCTTTTGAGTGAGTGGCGAAAGATGAGTCAGACTTATATCGATAAAGTATTAGCTTCCTGGCCAAGGAGAGTTTTAATGATATATAAAGCTCGAGGCTCTCATATCGAACATCGTTTATAATTGTCCTTTGTTTTTGTTTATATATATGAAAAATAAAACTGTTAATAATCATGACAACAACCCTAAAAAATTTTTTTTCATACTTGTTTGAGATTCATCAAAATTTTGGGCTAGAACCAGAGAAACTAACAAACAAATTATGTGATTTGATAGAAGAGCTGATGCTCTATCCAACTGTGCTCAAATAAAAAAAATTCGATGTATTGCATAAATACAGCAAACGACACAAAACTAGCAAAAATAACGTAATCAACCTGTAT